GTGCAAAATATCAGCAGCACGTATGTTTCACGTCCGCACGTATGAGTTCAATCGCTCAACATTTTTCAAAATCCGGCGATCGCCAAGCTCCGCGCGTTTTTTTTTTCTTTCATTTTGTAAGCTGAAACCCGATAGAATGCTTCCGATTTTATTCGATTTTTTCTATATTAAATTCCTCCGCCACGGCGGAGAATGTTCTTTGCCCTGGCGAACGAGAGGAAGGAAATTTTCTATCGAAAATATTTGTAGCACTTTAAGTTCGCAGCCGGCTTGTTTGATACCAGAAGCGTAATTCGTGATTGAAATTCTCGAGCGGCGGCGGTGCTTTGTGCTGAAACTTTTAATTGGCAGAATTCTCTCGATTTGCTTCCATTCGGTATGGACACAAATGTTCCTTGCCGGAGCGAGGAACAAAGAGGGACTCGGTTCATGGATCCTCTGCGATACTGAGTTTCCGGTATATACCCATGACTTCTTGAACAATCGTCTATTACTTGGACTAAGAGCTTTGATCGTTGTGCCGTAATATCGAATTAAACTTGAAGAGGATCCTGTCAAGAGCAAGGAAGTAGCTCAAGACCACAGCACACCGTGAAAGACGCGCGATGGCCCCCTCTTCGAAAATCGTCGTCTTACGGTTCTCTGCAAAACTACAAACCTAATATTGACAGACAAAATATTTATCCTGACGGTATACAGTCAATGTAAAAAGTATTCGGGCACACTGTATTTCCGATTTTTGACGAATTATCAATATTCGGACGGCTTGGATGCCAGTCAGTGTAAGTCCACTAACCTTAACATTTAGACGAGTAAGGACTTTGCAAATTAGTTGTAAAAAAATAACAATGCCACTAATAATGCAAAGTACGATTTTTATTATGACATCAAAATGAACTCAATCAAAAGGGAAACAAAGGTAAAATGTTGATGTTCTTTTAGAGGTAGCAAGTTAATTTAATTAATTAATCTAGTCACTTCCTGTGGACAATATATATATATATAGGTACTGCTATCTATTGTTTGTTTATGATGAAATCGACTACACTGATTTATCGATCGAAAGATCCTATGATAAAGATTTGTTTGCATTGCATAACTCGTTTTTAGAAAAACGTTATAATTTCGTAAAAAGATGTCGTACAACAACGAACCTGGTCTCATTTTAAAGCTTGAAGCTTTTACTTGCGCTAGGCATCGTTCATTTTCCTGTAACACGTTTTTTCATAATATAACAGGTGGATAATTAGAGATATGCTCTTTTTAGAAAATCTTACGGATTGAAACATTTGTAAATATCGTGGAAAACTGTTTTCATAATCGATCTTAACATGGATTTCAAGATCGAAGCTTCCCCTTTACAACGACCCCTTACACTTTGATGTACAATACAATGTCGCATCATTGAGCTTCGAATGAAACATATACTGCCTGCTTTACAGTAACACTGCAGTGATACGTTAATGTTATAAAATTAACGTTTTAATGTTAAAATGACATTAAGATTATTACGTTATTTTCGTATTAATGTATAAAGTAGTAGATAGATTAAATGAATTTAAAGATGCCAATATATTGATTGAAACTTACTAAAATGATCAAAGAGAGAACGAAATTTGTGTTTGGCAATTTATGACATTATTTCGCATAAAGATCCGTAGTCTAGTAAAATTAAACAATCTTAAAATTATTTCAATGAAGCTACGATTAAAGTTAAAGCGGAATCTCCCTTTTCCACTTTTTTCTCTTTGTAAATACATTAATCCTCCAATAGAGAATGCAAGAAAGTAATTTGGTATCATATCTGCAAATGCTTTTAATCAAAGAAATATATTCTAATTTTATTAGTCTATTACTATAAATTCTAATACTTAATGAATACTTTTTTTAACCACGAGGTTACGCGAGCCTAAAGGTAACTGAACCAATGAAATGGACTTTACAATTTTTGAGTTGCTCATTCGCGACACAATATTACAACAGATTGCAATACACATTTAAATAATGTGAATTCGAAATTCGCAAATTAAAAATTGACAAATCTAATTTCCAAGAGAAACCGCAGCTAGAAACGGTCCCGGGGTTCCGTCTTCTGTTTCCACTTGGGCGTTTAACGTGTTAGAATTCACTTTCCCGAGTATACCCGAAGCACAGACGTCTCGGTGCCGGTAGCTGGCGTGTCGTAATTGGTGAAACACTTGAGAAACCGGGAGGTCAGTGAACCCACAATGCTCGCTAAAATTCGTGTCGGTCGCAAGGTACGCTCCTCGATCGAAATGGTAAAAAGCTTACGGTTCAAGCGTCGCGGCTCAAAGTACACGATGATCTCTGTCATTACACGTCCCGTTATCTCGACGAGGGTAGACGTTCCCTGGAAACGCATCTCTAAATCCGAACGTTTCATTGGAAAATGTACAAAGTCAAGGGGAAAGGACATCTCGATCAATATTTCACATGAACGGCCGATTGGCCGGTAGGAAATAACGTCTGGATCTCTGCGAGCCAGGATCGACTGACTTCAAACTGTTCCCCGTCTCTCTGGGGAGCTGGCCAGTGCTATACGTGTCAATGGTAAACTGACCCTAGATGTCCATCGCGTCGAGATGAAAAGGCCACGACGGATCTACTTTGTTCAGGCCAGTCCCGTTAGACGCAGCGCGACTATCAGAATCTAATCAACGAGTAGCATCAGACACTTGGCCTGTCCGACTGCATGGTCCGGTACAAATTGTCAGCGAGATAGGCATCGTTGCCCCCATAGGGTCAGTTGATGTGGATATTCGTCGCGTTTCGATTAGACTGTTGCTCCCTACGCAGATGAAAAAAAAACCGAGGTACAAGCTACCGTCGTTGGGGTATACACGACCACCGCATACGAAAGGGGCTTTCTTTGCCTGTTCAGATAAACGAAATATCTTGTACGTCGATTACGAAATTTATTTCTCCTGCGTATCTACCGGCCGAGAAAATCAAATAACTCGACGAAAGTAAAAGTTCCTTGGGGAACACCGGACGAAGATCTTGCGTGTACGCTAACACTAGTTATTTTATGCGTTTTACCATCAGTTAACCCTTTTAGTGCCATGCGAAAAAGAGGTGCCTAATGCGAGAATAACCGGCCGAATTTCACGGTTTTACTAGGGTTTGGGAAAATGCTCATAAAAATCAAACAAGAAACAATATTTACATGATTTAAAAAGCAGTAAATTAAGGACGAAATAGAGAACAAAACAATGACAGTAGATCTTCTATATTCATTGAAAATTATATAAATAACAAAGGTATAAAAGATCATGAAGAAAGTAAAAGTCCAGTTCTCTCTTACAAAACGTATTTGCACATAAAAAAAGTCATCTTTTCATCATAATTTTATATAGATCATTTATTACAAAGTATATACTTTGCATTTCTGATATATTTTGTAACAAGATAAATAATATTACATAACAAACGTAAAAAATAACTCGAAGGTACATGGTAAGCGCCGGACGGATTATCTCTTCCGAAATATGTAATTGTTATAGGTAATATAACATTGCTGAAACAAAATTATGTTGTCATAAATATATTTGTGATATAATTTTGCATAATACTTCATTATAATAACATGAATATTTATATTTATATTTATATTTATATATTGTAAATGTGTAAAATTTTGTTATTACAAAGCGCTATAAGGCGCGGGCCGATATATCGGCTCTGGCAATTCTCGCCAGTGCAGCAAGAGCCGATATATCGGCCTCCAGCACTAAAAGGGTTAAGAAAATCGAGATGCCGTGTTTTCGTATGCAATGATTTCTTTACGATCAGGAAAACGACGTTTGACCACTTTAGACGCAGAAGCTTTATAACTTGTTGCCTTACGATTTATTCTCAAAGATACACACGTGTGCAGGCAATTTAATTTAGCATACGTATATATGCGAAGAGTTATCGCAAAATAAAATTAAAATATACTTGCATTTATTTAATATATTTATATAAATGTGGACGCTATTTCATTTATAGTAGAAAAGATGAATAAAGTGATGCTAATACGAAATAAAAATTATAAAATATGATATTAAATATATTAATATTTAAGTTACAATAAAATAGAGAACAAAATTTGTTTCATGTGCAGAAGCGTTTAAACGATTAGAAAATTCAGTAAATTCTCCCCAATTGTCCCTCAACTTCTAAACAAAAATGGACAATTTGGGAAGAGGAGATACGATTATTCGAGTCTCGTTTTTATAGTTGTTCTCCACTTTTGTCTACAAGTTGAAGGGCAATTGAAGAGAATTTCCTGTATTCGGTTGGATTTATTATACTTAACTTTTTCAAATCAATTAGAAGATATATTTTAGTTTCGTTCGTTGTATTTTATATTTGAGAATCTGTTTATGTTAAAACTAAAATATTTCAAATATCTGAACCCATTGACGATGACTAAGTATTAAAAATATCGTATTAACCAAATTAAATAATGTTCGTCACACATAATAATAATCTTATAATGCTCGTTTTCTATAATTACATCCACAAATGAACGTACGAAATATTTGTATCAACGGATTCCTGAAATGTTATCTCTCCTCGTTAACATTCAATTTGTAATGCATTTTTTAAATTTTCATTATAGTCTCAGATAGAAAAGTTACAAACCAGAGTTCTTTCGTCATTCCAAGTAATAGCAAAATTAGAACAATATAATATAGTCATTGTATATTAAGCTAGCCTTTCTGTTCTGAATTCAAGTCGTTTAGTCCAGTTTTGAAAAGTTTCTACCATTTTAAAGGGTATTCACACGTATTTGTCTCCGACTGTATTTCCAAATAACAGGTTCAAAACGAAGTAAAATTGATCAGAAACGTTTCGAATTTTTGTCCGATAACAGTGGACAATCTTTAACTAACTGCTTAATCACGTCGACTTATGACGATCGCGTAATTACATGCGTTGGCATATGGCCGGAATCATTGATGCGCTTTCCGGTTCATTAAGGTCGCGTTCATTATCCGGTTCGCGCAACCAGAAATGCGAATGGAGTTTCGTGCGTTCCTGGAAACAGTTCGTCCAACAGAGAAGTGACTCCCGAGGGTAATTAAGCGAAATGTAGTTAATGAGGTTAATGGAAAAAAAATACTCGCAGGAAGGAAGGAAGGAAGGAAGGAAACGTAAAAAGGTTAAAGACTGACCTCCATAGCGGGCGTCGGTGAAAGCAAGTATCGATTAATTATGCGCACCACTATCTTGGAAAATCCTCCGCCGGTGATCATCGAATTTTAACAATTATTTCGAACGGAGCAACGACGTTTTGATTTTTAGAGAATTGTTTTTCTTGTGTGTTGCAGCAATTCGTTTTCACAAAGCAATGAACTGAAAAATCCTGGCTGACAATTTTATTTGTTGTGGGATTATTGATTGCGTAGACATTTTAATGGAATAGATGACACCAGAACTACGCTTAAAAAAGGAAATGATAAAAATTCACGGAGTTGAACGACACGTTTGCGTGTGCCCCGCGACATGCATGCGCGGACCGACAAAGTTTTACTTGCAAATTTCATTGTAAAGGCGCGGTGATCGATGACTGACAAAGATGTCCTCTGAACCGGAGACGCCTTCGTTTGTATTTTTCATTGCGAAGGAAAGAGAAAGATTTATAGCCGCGTCGATTCGCATGACATACCATGGAATATACGTAGCCATCGACGCCATTGTTCAACGCAACGAGTTTTTATTTGACAGACTACTCCGCGAAACGAGCATAATACACGCTCCTGCTTTTTACGAGTATTTACCGACCGATTTCCGAAAATTCTTTTTGCTGCCGTTCTTGCGTTCCCGTCCCTTTTGATCTTACCATCCCCAGGGAAGCTTTCATTTCTCATTTTATTAGTTCCTATAGTCAGTCGGCTCCACTTTTTCCTCGCAGCGTTTATTTTTCGGAAAACTGATGTCCATAGGTGCACAGTAAAATATTCAATCCTTTAAACGCTCAATTTTCCTGTGCTAGATGTATACAGAATTCAGCATATTTTATTCCAATAACGTATAAAATGTTATTCGCAGAATTTATTCGAATAAAATTTTATTTGACATATTATTCGAAGAATTTGTTCCACATATTATTCGAATAGAATTGCATTCAAAGAATTTATTCGATTTATTATTCGAAGAATTTATTTGAAGCGATATTCGTATGAAATTTTATTCGAAACATCAATTGAATAAAGTTTTATTCGAAGACAAATGATCTCAATAAAATTTCATCGGATTTAATAATAATAATAATTTACTACATTCGAAATGCTATTCGGATACCCGAAGAAATTATTCGAAACGTTATTCGAATACAATTTTATTCGAATAAATCTTTCATTCGAATCATTATCCGAATAAATCTTTATTCGAATCATAATTCGAATCATTATCCGAATAAATCTTTATTCGAATCATAATTCGAATCATTATCCGAATAAATCTTTATTCGAATCATAATTCAATTGCACAAAAAGGTCGTAAACGTTAATGGCCATTCGGCATAGAAATAATAGCTCTTTCTTTCGTTGAAAAATGTAACTTTTGTTATTCGCATGATTTGCAAGTTTTTTTTGCAGTTTTTAGTACGTTTCGAAATCCAAACGCGTTGTTCTCTTTCTTTATTGAGGCGTAGAAACCGAAAGCGTTGCACGTTGTGAAAGTAACTATATGTATCGAGGCGAAACTACGAACGAAGATGTTATTAAACAAATAATTCGTTTTAACAAATGTTATCGCTTGTTACACGTATGTCTGTGTTTAGCTTTCGCAGAAAACAATTTCAGCCACTTTACGACGGAAACGTAACTTTTTATTTACGTACATTTTATGGAATTACGAGAGTTATCTCTCGGCTGATGTGTTAAACAGAAAATTTCGCGTGTATGCCAGCTATAAAATAACTCGTAGTTGGCATGAAACGTGTTAAAACCGTGATTTTACGGGAGCTGGTTGCACCGAGTACTTACACACCACTTTTGTCGGTGTGATGAATCGCACCCAACATCTGCAGGTGCAGGTGAAAGCCTCATCATGCTTTTAATAAGATGTTTTTTGCGTGCACGATTTATCATACGTGCACGAGGTAGTAAGGCGCTGTTAATAACCACGCAGGTCCGTTTTAAGATTATTTTACGAACCCCGGATTAAATGCTAGATCGTATACGAGGGTCCCCTCAATGCTTCTTTCATTAGTGGTCTTTCTTTTTATCATGCTAGAAATATACAAAGCATTCTCCACTCAATTAGATAATACCCACCGTCTTTAATTATCCACCCGCGGCTATTTAACCAGACTTTGATTACTTCGCACTTTTACGATTTCAAAAATCCGAGTCGTAAATCTCAAGCACTTTGATTACAATTTAATACGCCGAGTTCCTGCTGCAGTTAATTATTTACGGGCAGAAATATGTAGAATTTCAAAGAAGAATATATACTTCGAACACTATGCAAAACTCTGGATAAAATATTAATAGCTGTACAATTTCGGGATCTGTATTTTAATAATTGGCAGCATA